ACAAAGATTATGTTTTCAATTGAAAAAACAAGAAATGTTTTTAGAATATCCCCAGTCTAAGGACGCCGATGATTCTTTTGATTGGGAAAAACATGATGTTGGTAAAAACGGGTAATGTAAATAAGATTAATAAAAAGTATGTTCTGAAAGATTATCAAAACATATTAAAACAAGTGTTAGAAAAGTTAGACTACATAGACAAAACTGATAGAATATTAAAATATCCATCGGAAGAGTATCAGAAATTTGACAATGAGGTAAAAGACAAAATTGAAACTCACCTTAAAATTAAAGAACTGGTTCATGGTGTGTTACGCGCGTTATACATTTTAAGAAACAAATCCGTACAACGCAAAATACATGTTGAACAACAGATAGAGATACTCTGTTTTATTGATGAATTTAAATTCTTCGATGTTCTTGACGAATCAGATGAAATTTTACGTCATGGAAAAGAATTAAATTACACATTAGAATCATCTAAACCTTTAAATGGTGGTTAAAATCGTTGGGAAATTCCTTTTTCGTTCTTTAAGTTCATTTTTTCCGATAAAAATTTTAGCGTTATTTTGACGAAAGCTTCGCAACAAAATGATTGTCCTGTTATTTTTAAGGAAAATTTTAGACCAAATAGTGGAATTGGAGGAGGGAGTCCTCTTGTACGATTCGTTAAACATGAATTTTTAAAAAAAATCATTAGACCATTCCTTGCTCAAAACATGTCTAACAAAACCGAAAAAGAGATTGCTATACCATTTAAAGGAAAAGACTTACCATCGGATAATTCTGAATTTTTAGTCATCCAGATATTATGATTGGTTTTACTATAATTAGTTATTTATATAGAGGATTAGATTTAAATCAGGTTAAAAACACTTTAATTAAGTTAAAAAATGAAGTACATCATGGTTAAATTCTTTTAAAACACTTGATCTTAAGAATGAAGAAAGAATTAAAAGGGTTCATCTTTATCTTTGCAGAAATTTTGGTTTTATTCAATATTATTTAAGTAATTTTACATTTAGAAATCATACGAAACATTACGAAAAAAAACTTACCGGAAATGCCCATACTTTAGCTGGTGAAGGAGAAACGAGAGGATTTTCTGGTACTGATGATCGTAACGATACTATTCCTGAATCAGTTATTCCAAAGCGATTACCATCTCAAGAGGGAACAAATGGAAAAATGCTGCATACACTATCGAGAACAGTAAATAGTAAATATAAAATAAAATGAAAAAGTTTTATATCCAGTCGTGAGCGAAAAATTAGAATATGTGATTAAAAAACGATTTCTTGAATATCAAAAGAGAATTAAAGATATTCCTGTTCAATCTCTTATCATACCTTGTATAAGTAGCGTTTCTGATAGTATAGAAGACTTATATGCTAAAACTCCTCAAGAACGAAATTCAAGAGATATTTTAAATCAGATTATGGGTGCTTATTCGAATAACTTTTATCCGAATTTAACAAAAGAATTAACAACTTTAAATGAAAATCATCCTTTTGACAACAAAGGACCTATAAAACAAATACCTATAACAGAAGAAGTCAATTGGGCTTTTGATTCTGTCTTTGAACAGAATTTTATAGAAAAAGGATTAAAGGGAGAGGATAACTATCCAAAGCTAAAGCAATTAAATAAATGTTTTGACTATACTAATATTGATG